ATACAAAGACATGTCACAAATGCCAAATTTACACCGACAAAATGCATGTGCCACCGACTCCTTTGAATTTCCTGAGTTCTTCTTGGCCATTTTCAATGTGGGGATTTGATATGATAGGAATGATCAGACCGGAAGCCTCTAACGGACACCGGTTCATACTAGTTGCCATCGACTACTTCACCAAAGTGGGTGGAAGTTTCGTCCTACGCAAATGTGACAAGACAAGTGGTTACATGGTTCATCAAGCAGAATCTTATATGTAGATATGGGGTTCCTAGCAGGATTATTACAGACAATGGTTCCAACTTGAACAACAAAATGATGAAGGAGTTATACGATGACTTCAAGATTGAGCATCATTATTCCTCCCCATATAGGCCCAAGATGAATGGAGTCGTTGAAGCTGTCAATAAGAATGTCAAGAAAATCATTCAGAAAATGGTAAAAACATACAAATATGGGCACAAAATTCTCCCATTCGCTCTACACGGCTACTACACTTTCGTACGTACGTAAAAAGGTGCAACTCCTTTCTCTCTAGTATATGGTATGGAGGAAGTAATCCTTCTTGAAGTAGAGATTCCATCACTACGAGTTCTAATGGAAATAAAGCTCAAAGAATCAAAGTGGGTTCAGACCCAACTTGATCTGCTTAACCTCATTGAAGAAAAATATTTGACAGCTTTGTGCCACGGTCAATTATACCAAAAGAGGATGAAGAAAGAATTTGACAAGAAGATTCATCCCCGAGTGTTCAAAGAAGGTGATTTGGTTCTCAAGAAGATGCTATTACCTCGCATTGATTCACGTGGTAAATGGACACCCAACTATGAAGGTCAGTATGTGGTAAAAACGACATTTTCGGGTGGTGGTCTCATCCTCACACCAATAGATGGGGAAGAACTACCACATTCGACAAACTCTAACACAGTCAAAAAAGAATGTATAAAAAAGCTTGCTAAGTTCAAACCCTAAACGGGCAACTTAGGCAAAAAGGATCGTCCTGGTGAATTGAAAACCCTAACGGACGATCAAGGAAAAAATTAGGTACATAAAGATAGAAAATTATCTTGGTGGATTGAAAACTCGAAAGGGAGGTCCATGCAAAAGTTAGGGATGTTATTCAAAATAAAGAAAAAATAAATTGCGATCTAAGAACCACGACTACGATCACGAAGGAAGCTAAGGATATTGGAGCTATCAAAAGGACATTGGAGAAACAACAGCAGCAACAATTATCATTTTCATTTCCATTTTCAGTTTTTGTTTAAAAAAATTGTGATTACCTCTTTCTAGGAACTGCATCTTGTAATATCTTCTATTCAAATGCACGTTTATCAATAAAACATTTACTTTTTCAATCTTTTCAAATTGTGATTTTCTTTTTTGGACTTGTTCGCAAAATACTATGATTATTTCTTGTGAATACTACGTTGAAATCATTTTGGTGATTTGACAAACAAATAGAGGCATTTAATAAAAACATCAAAAAACATTTTGGTTAGAAAAACATCAAATTAAAATCCACGACTACGTCCACGCCTGCGACTATAGCCACATTCACGCCTATGTTCATAACTATGATCATGCCTACGCCCGCGCCTATGATACAAATATCAAAATCTTGCTAACACCATTCATCTTGTTCAAACTAACTCAAAGATACCACAACAATGCAACATACAATGTTGGGGAGTCGGTGACACAAAACCAATGGTTTAAAAGGAGAGAATATTGAAACATTTACAACAAACATCTGGTGCACGTACAAACATGTGGTGAATATACAAACATTTGGGGCATATATAGAGAAGATTCAGTGCATATACATTTGGGCTCCATATAAATCTAGGGAATTATGCATATATATAATGCATGGAATTTTTCAATTCCATTTTGGTTAAAACTATAAACTTTTCTTGGGGCCCATTGTTGAATTATCTTGTCCACAAAACAAACGAACACCTTGGTTGAGAACAGACACAACCGGTGAACTCCGATCTTATCTTTTGTTTAGTTATATAAAGATTCGATTATCAAAACACTTTTCAAAAACCTAACTTGTATTATCTATCCTCTAGGTTGTGGTAGGTATGTGAATTATCAGGGTTATGTTATTTATCCTCTAGGTCGTGATAAATACATAAGCTTATCCCCTTGTCATTTATCCGCTAGGTGGTGATAAATGCATAAATTTATCCTCGTATTATCTATCCTCTAGGTTGTGGTAGGTATGAGAATTATCAGGGTTATGTTATTTACCCTCTAGGCCGTGATAAATACATAAGCCTACCCTCGTGTCATTTATCCTCTAGGTCATGATAAAGGCACAAGCTTATCCTTGTATTATATATCCTCTAGGTTGTTATAGGTATGTGAAAATCTATAGGTTATTGTGTCAGTCTCCAAGCGATAATGAATTATCAAGTTATGTTATTTATCCTCTAGGTCGTGATAAATACATAAGCTTATCTTTGTATTGTTTACTCCCTAGCGACACAACCGACTAAAAATCATCAGACAATGAAGTCCCCATCAAACGTCTTTTATCCCACATGAAGGGAAAGGTAAACATCGAGAAAATCTGAGAATGGAGAAGTCACGGTCTTGCGACCGAGATATCGGGTAAGGGAGTCTGTTACGCGAGGGGAAGGTATTAGCACCCCACACGCCTGTAGTACTCTACGGTATCCAATCTTGTTATCTATCTTATTGGTGTGTCTAATTTATGCTTACTACACTACTGAGGAAGAATGCATGCAAATAAAAGGAGAAAATAATGTAGGGAAATTAAAGTTGTGCTCGCTTGGGCCCTACCCCAATTCCTATGTGTCCTTTTTGAGGAATCAGAGTTACCATAGTTCGGCTCACATGTTTTGTTTGTTTTGTGTTTTTTATGAACAATGTTAATTCCGTCTTCTGCCACAACTCGACCTTTGGAGACTCACGCGTTGGCATAGAAGTAAATTGACATATCCTTACTTGAAAATAGTTTTGAGTTATTCCCTAAAGGCAAGATGCCACATTTGATTGGTTTTTGTTTTGTTACCTTGAAAAAGGGTTTAAGTGTGATTAGCATGTTCTATGATTTGCTAAGAAAAAGGTTTTTGTTTTAAATGCAAGGATGTAAAAAGAGAGAAAACAACTAAGGGAGACTAGCCTAGAACTATCCCTAATTTTATCATACAATGGTGGCCCTACGTCAAGGATGAAAGGGAAATCTCTACCTAATCTTAGAATGCATGGTTTGCAATCTAAGGTCAAACTTGCATCCTAAAGGAACAAGTACATCCTAAGGGAACATGGTACAGAAAAAAAATGAACAAACAAGCTCGAAGGATCACACACATAAAATAGTAAGGAAAAGAAGAGAAATGCTTTAGTCAAGGGGAGCGTATCAGCTGAGACAAACAAGCGGGAATAGGATGTAAAACGAAATAGTGATGTCCAAAGAGACTGAACACCTAACTAAGATATAGGAGATCAAGGTAAGCGATAGAAGGCAATATGAAAAATCATAGAGTATCAACATCGGCCAATGCGAACTCTTGACAAAGCATAGGGGTTTGATTGCAAAACCCTTCCCCACTTGACGACTCGATACACATGATCTTGGGAATAGGTTCAGAGCTCAGAACTTGCAAAAAGTGAGCATAGGAATGACACAGACGAAAACTGGTAGGGGTTGATTGCTAACCCTTTCCACTTGCCTTCTCATGAGGACTTAGGAATGGTTTCCATAAAAGGACCTAAAACCATCATCCCGGTATACAAGCACAAATGTAAACACACGTATGGAATACCTACTTCAAAGGTAGGATTTTAAACAAGCACAAATAGCCGACATAAATCACACAATGCGAAATTGACCTAAACGGGTCTTTAAATAAACCAAAGGGATTCCTGACATGACCAATAATAGAGACCCCCTTCATACATCTCTACCCTACTTCTTATGAAATCAGAAAGCAGTAAAGTGCTTTAACGAGATAAACAAGAGAAAATACCAAACGAACAAGAGTTCGTAGCACAACAAGCAAAATAGAGAAACCCAGAGAAATTTGAGTGAGCTTCACCAAGAAATAAGGAAGAGTTCGAAATTAAATGCTCGGAAGAAGCATCGAATCATCATCGATGAAAATAAATCACAATCGAAAATTCAAGCATATCCGCCTATCACATGATAAACCTGCATACGACTCATATCTCAACAAGCAAAGGTGAATCATAATTCTCGAGTAGTAAAATCATTACTAACACAAAAGATAATAGAAAATTCTAAACAAACTTCTACAAAAGAAATTCTAGAAATAATTCTATTATATTCCACTATTCTTTATAGTTTTTATTATGTAAAAAACCTATAAAAAACTAGAGAATTAGTTCTTAATCATTAAAAACTATCAAGGCTTATTGATTTTGTAATTTTTTTATCAACAATCTATAACAAAAAAATAGGAAAATATAATGGAAATCTAAAAAAGGAAAAATCAACTCATGGGTGTAAAGTCTGAAACTGGGGCTATGGTGCAGTAAATTGCTCTAGGTGCAAGGCCCGTCATGAAAGTCTAAAAGTTGTTTTTGTTATATTGCTACCTGCTGCCAAAAAAATGGGCTTAGGGAATGGTGGCTGAGCAGAAACAGACAGTAGGCCCATCCTGCAATGACCAATAAGAATTTTTGTTCCAATCTCTTCAGCTCCAAGAAATTGTGTTCTTGGGCCTGAGGGATCACAGTTTTCGGTCCAACATCTTTGTACCCTGATATGAGACTTAAAAAAAAACACATAAACGGACTGAGAGCGAGTGTGGTTCGATCCAAAACCAATTTTTTTGTACTAGTTTCCAAAAATCTATACAGGCCTGAGTGCATCAAGGACAATGAGTATAGCCACTGAGTCAAATGTCTTATTGTTGATTCTAGGGTAAGAAAACGGACGCTTCATCTCACAGAGTATTCTTCTCTTTTGATTCCTTCTTTAAAGAAAACTATACGCCACCATGAAACCAGTGTTCTCATCATATAACCCTGACCGACATCGCCAACAGCGACGTCTCAATTTCACCTCTTTTGATCCAACGCATTCGTCACTTTCATCGCGCTGCCATGGAAGATTTAACTCCATCCTTTTGATTTCGACCGAGACGTAACCCTTAGATCTCACTCAAGAAGCAAGCTAATCATTTGATACAAGAGAAAGATGAACAATGCGTGGAACTTTCCGTTGCGCGGAATGATGATAGGGAGAAACATTTACCTATCAGATCTGCTCCAATGGCGTCTTCGACAGTGATAGATATGAAGAGGTATCCAGTAGGCCGCTACAAAGTTTTTCAATTACTTCCTTGTAACGATCATCTTCTCTTATCTTCTATTCTTCTTCTTCTGCTTGACTCTTTTCACTCTTTTCTTGTTCGTGTTTCTATTTTTCGACTGTGTTATGGTGTTGCTATTGATGCAGTCCATTGAAGATTTGGCTATTCTGTTGAATTTTTCGCGTTTCTGTTACAGATACGATATTAAAGTGGAGAACAAGGATGATCATGATGATGAGAAGTGTCGGCGTTGTCCTTGGTGAGAGTTGTTGTGGATATGGTATGACTGATGAAAATTGTTGTAGGTCGATGATTGAAGGTTGATAAGGAAGATCTTGATGCGGTTCAGAGAGAAAGATCGAAGTTGTTGTGGATGGTTGAAGATTGAAGAAGATGCTGTAAATTGTTGAAGGTTGAAGCAGAGGGCAAACAGAGAATAATTTAGAGGTGAGTTTTTCTATTGAAGCTTTTTTCTGGTTTTCTCTCTGAATTTTCCATGTAAATCCCAATGTGAACTCCCTCCTCCTTTTCTGTTATAAGTTTGTTAGAGGGTTGGTTAGTGAAGTTGTGACCGAGCTAAACACAGTTAGATGTTAGTTATGGAAATTGGTTAGTTAGTTATAGTTGGGGAGTTCTGTTAGAAGTTGGTTAGAGGTTTGAGATTCTATTTCCTGTTAGGAAGTTAGTTGTCTGGAATTCAGTTATAACTTGTTAGAGAGTTAGTTGAAGCTGAAATTTGTTATATTTTGTTATGCGGTTAGAAATTAGTTTTAGTAAAATGAGTCGGCGTCGAAACTAGATATATGTGAACTTCTTCTATTTTAGACTTTCTCTAAACTGGTTTTTGTTTGCTTCAAAATGGCAGGGCTGCCTTCGTTTTGAGCATGGATTGAAGTCACAAAGCACATATTTTGAACGGATTTAGGTCGCGGGGCTGGTTTTTCTGTCCATAACTGATGCAGGGCTGGAAATTCAACCGAGTTTTGTTTTATTTCCGTAATTTATCTATTGTACCATATTTCCTGATCTAGTAATTTCCATGTTTTGCCTTTTTCTCTTTCTTATTTAATACTTCTGGTTTTGAGGTTCAGAAATTCCAACCATGTGCTATAACTTTGAAGACAGTATGGTTATGAAGATAGATGAAGCATGGGGAAGAGATAAGACATGAAGATCCTGTTGAAGATGGAACATGGAGTATGAAGTTTAGAGAAAAGATTAGGTTTAGGATCAAAACAAATTGTAATTTACTTGATAGTTTGTAAGTTGTAGAATCTTTGTAATGACTTTGTGGTGTCTTGTAAATTAAGTAAAAATTCAAAGTCGAAGTTTCCCTCTTAACTTTGCACTTTATTTGAATTATCTAATATTTTCTCAATTTTTCCAAGCTTCAATGAGCATTAATCAAGATAAGACGAAAACCACAACTTAACATGGACTTTGGTCAACATGTCACCAACTGTACTTCATCGTGAAATGGCTCATAATTTTCACCCCATTTCCAACCTTTCTCAGAAATAAAATCCAAAGCCATTAACTTGTAATCCAAATATTCAAATGACCCAATCTTCTGATGATGGTAAGAACCAACTAATTCAGACTTCAATTGATGATGAGAGCCCACACAAATAGAGGAATAAACCCTAACTCGCATGGAAATTGTTAGCACAAAAAGATGATCCTCACTCTACAACCTATAAGAACCTCCATGTTTAAGCCTTTGAAGGAAGTCAAATAGACCACCTCGTGTTATTACAAGCAACCACAAGTCCATGCCTAATAAGATGATCAAGCAATATAATGCCTTAGGCGGAGGTTTATGAGGAGTGTATAACCAAAACCTTAAGGTATATCTACTAACCATGAGCGCATAGAAACAAACCCCAACTGATGAATAACCAAACTCAACATTGATTAAAAATAATAATCTCTAGGTAATAAAGAAACCATAATTTCCTTAATACCCTTGATCACGTGCTAAATTTATGGGCTAATGATGCATGGTGTGTTAGATGGCCTAATAAGAAGATATGTACGTGAAGAATATGAGATGAATATGCCAAAAGATTGAATGAAAGGGTAGGAAAATTTTTGGGTGTTACAGTTGCCCCTATTTAATCGTCTTAAGCCTAAAAGTACGATTGGCGCGTGCCTTTCGAAAGTTCGAGGTAGAAGATGATTAAATACCAATGCCAAAACTTTGTTCTGGAAGAAAGTGTGAGTGCTTATTTATTTTTATTTTTTGTGATATCTGTTGTGGAAAGAATTTTTCGTTTTCTAGTGAGAAGACAAAGATGTTACTTATAACGTAGCAACAGAGGCTAATACAAGACAGAGATTTGACTTGTAACGTGGCGTGATGCCAATACAAGACAATGATAGACTTGCAATGTGGCGTGATGCTAATACAAGACAAAGGTAGGTACAAATAGACGACGAATAAGATATACGGGTGACCTATGATCCTAAGGTGAAACATTAGGGCGATCTGTCAGAGAACTAGGCCTATGGGCGACCTCAGAATTCTAAAACAGGATATATAGGGAGAACCTAGCCTATTAGCGATCTCAGGTTCTAAGAAGATCATTAAGGAGAACCTATCCAACAGGCGATCTCAGGTTCTAAGATGATCTATAGGAAGAACCTAGCCAAAGGGGGTTCTCAGGTTCTATGATGATCTATTTGAAGAACCTAGCCAACGGGCGATCTCCGGTTCTAAGATAATCTATAGGAAGAACCTAGCCAACGGGCAATCTCAGGTTCTAAGATGATCTATATGAAGAACCTAGCCAACAGGCGATCTCAGGTTCTAAGATAATCTATAGGAAGAACCTAGCCAACAATGATCTCAGGTTCTAAGATGATCTATAGGAAAAACCTAGCCAACAGACGATCTCAGGTTCTAAGATGATCTATAGGAAGAACCTAGCCAACATGCGATCTCAGGTTCTAAGATGATCTATAGGAAGAACCTAGCCAACGGGCGATCTTAGGTTCTAAGATGATCTATAAGAAGAACCTGGCCAACGAGCGATCTCAGGTTATAAGATGATCATATTGGTTACGACATGACAAGTGTTTAGAAGTTGACACAGATTAGTGTTTAGGAAACTAACGCGAACGAGTGTTTGGAGAACTGGAATTTGAATTAATTTGTCAGACGAGAACTAACTACCAGATGAGAACTGTGATTTGAATTAATTGTCAAGCGAGAACTGACTATCAGACGAGAACTATGATTTGAATTAATTTGTCAAATGAGAACTGACTACCAGACGAGAACTGACTACCAGACGAGAACTGGGATCTGAATTAATTATCAAACGAGAACTGAGATTTAAATTAGTTTTCAGACGTGAACTAACTACTAGACGAGAACTGGTATTTGGAATTAATTGTCAGACGGAGACTGACTACCAGACGGGAACTAGAATTAGAATTAATTGTCGGACAAGGACTAACTAGCAGATATGAACTGATTACCAGATGGGAACTGGGTTTTGAATTGACCGTCAGACGAGAACTGACTACCAGATAGGAACTGGGTTTAGAATCGATCGTCAGACAGGAACTGGAATTATAATTGATTGTCAGATGGGAACTGACTACCAGACGGAAACTGGGTTTGGAACCGATCATCTGACGGGAACTGACTACCAGATGAGGATTGTGTTTAGAATCGATCGTCAGATGGAAAATGACTACCAGACATGAACTGGGTTTAGAATCGATCGTCAAATGGGAACTGACTACCAAACGGGAACTGGGTTTGGAATCGATCGTCAGACGGGAACTGACTACTAGACGAGAACTGGGTTTTATAATTTATTTTCAGACGAGAACTGACCACCAGATGGGAACTAGGTTTGGAATCGACCGTCAGACGGTGTAATATGGTGGGGGAACTGACTTTTAGGTTTTGCGTTTTATCATAAATTTTGCGGATAGCAAGAGTCGACACCGCCTTTTCTTTTATCCCATAAATGAAAGGGTGAAAAGAACAGGAGATACCTTTTGAAAATTTTGAGTAAGTGGGGTAGGTTATGAAAAAGGAAGGTGTTAGTAACATTTTCATCCGTAGTTATCTACGGGCTCTTAATCGCTAGCTCACTTTTGAAATGCTTTGGGTTTGTGCTTTGTTTTAAAGTATTTTGAAAAATGCCTAAGTTCGGAAAACTTTGTTATGATTCTCGTATCGTTGAGAACGTATAAAAATTGTTTGTTTTTGAAAATATTTCAGGAAAGTGTTTGTGTAAAAGAGATGTTTGTTTTTGAATTTTATTGTGAGCAAGCGACTACGAGCTATCTACCTACTCAAAAAGTCGTTCACGTTATTTTCCTCTTCCTTTAGGTATGCTCTCCTATCATTAGTTAGTAGGAAGCCTTATCATTGAATGTTAAGGGACAAGCGTGGGTCATCGTACAATCATAGAAGGCAACTTGTAGGATGCATTAGTAATTGTCGTAAGGGACTAAGATCATTTATCGAAGGCAACATCGAAGGGTCATCGAGGGACTACGATCTTTTAACCGAGGGTCTTTGCTAAAGCATTCCACGTTCGAGGGACATGACTGTTTTATCCGAAGGCAACAAGAGAGGTTACCCTAGAGGTGTGTGTGTGGGAAGTGTTTTGATTTCAGTTATTTATCTTGGATTTATGGTTATCTAATGTTTTATTTTAAATCCTGCCATACAATCCTATTTAAACTAACAATGATAAAGAAAGCGGTAAATTGCGGAATTTAAATTTCCTACGCCATTACAAGGCTTTGGGGTATTTACAAAATACTAAAATGCAGAATTTAAACATCCTACGCTATTACAATGCTTCGGGAATGGGTGTACAAAATTGTGAATGGGGGGAAAAAGTAATAAACCCTAATTCTCTATTACAGACCAAATATTTGTATCCTATACAATTGATCTAAGAATATAAATAAGAAATAAGGAAAATAATAATTTGGAATGTATTTTTGTATTTTATGAAAAGATGGTTGGAATAGGTATGTTTGAAACAAGTGTATGCATCACAGTCAAGATGAAAGTCATGGAGCATATCTTTTAATGTGAATTTAGTTGAGAAAATTCCTAAGGAGGATCAAGTTATCATGAAAGGTTTACTCAAGTGCCAAGATATCTCATGATATTCAAGACTTATCATTGTAAAATCAAGCCTTGTGAGAAAAGTTGAAAACTTAATCAAAAGATAAAAGAAAAGTCCTTTAAAAAACTAAAAATTACCTATTTTAATTTAATTATAAA